GGGCGAAGTTAAGGCTTTCAACAATGATTACCCAAAACTAATTTGAATTTTATTGATTCAATTCGGCGTGTCTGTGTCTTAGCTGCCCATTTACCAGATATTCTGAGCAATCCTATTTCTTGGAATCTCCCTAGCTGAACGCGGCCCTTGGCTTTTATCTGCATCTGTCCTTGATGATGTGTTGATGATTCGCCTGAGCCTAATCTGCTTTCGTCCAGCCCCCGTTCAGCCCCTTCGTCATTTTAACACTCTCTATGCGTAAAGGATTGAGAATGCCTTTGATTTTTGTGCCATCCCGGCCTTGTCCTGGCTTAGCTTTTAATACAACAAAGTGTATTTTAATGTGATAAACGCATATGGCCATTCAAATCGCATTATCCACATTTCTCCGATTCGCTTTGGACATCCTTCACTTGACTTGCAACATTTTTAACATATTGACATTTTCAATCATGGGCCTCAACTCTGTTAAAAAAAAAAACAATATTTTCTACCGTTTCTAAATGACATAGTAGTCCGTTCTGGAAGACATCTTTTAATAAATATCTTTATGTTATTGAACAATTTATTCTACATAGCTCCTCAATTGAAGCCTCGTAAGCTTCAAATAAATATGCTTCTACTAATCTTAACCACATAAAGCTTAGAAGGTATCTTACCTGTAGAGTGCAGAGTTGTATATGTGAGTTAAGGTGAAAATCAAACGGCTTATTCCTATTTTTATATAAGAGGTTCTTTCTATTATTATGTCATACTTTTAAGCTGGAAATGTATTTGCATACATTTATTAGTTTTATTTTATAATTTTAAATAAATTTCAACAGCTTTAAAAAAGAAGCAAACTTTTAAAGGACAGCAATTATTATTAATTAGGTTGATTAGAATAGTTTGTTTTGAGTTTTGCTATTTCGTTACTTTACAAAAATTGACTTGAATATATTATACAGTACATTTTCCATCTTCAACAAACAATCTCTTCCAGGAATAAGTGATAAATGTTGTAGCCGCATAGCTGAGTAAATATTCAGGTATTCTGGCACATAGTATTGCCTAGTTTCAGGCGCAGCTTAAAGCAGCACATGTGCACATACATGTGTGTGTATGTGTGTGTGGCACGTTTGTGTGCTTATGAGTAGATTGAGGCGATAAAGATTTGGCAAATAGAGCGTGTGTGTCGTGTATTTGTGTGTCGCAAGCATCAGCACGAATAATTAAACCCGAAAAATGAAATTTGATTAATTTAATATTTACAGAGAGCTGCTCTCTCTTTCTCTCTCCCTCTCTCTCTCTCTCTGCCTATCTGTGTGAAAGCCGTAGCGGCATCTCTCTCTACTATTTGCTGTGAATGTAGAAGGAAACGTGCTTTAACACTCGCAAAACTTGTTTCCACTACGAGTGTGTGTGTGTGTATGAATTTCAATGTTTGTTTAGCTAATAAATTTTCGGGCTAAAGTAATCAAATAATTGCCAAATGTACGAAAAACACAAGAGCATAGGAATATGGCTTGTTTTATTGCCATTTTATTTCGCAAAATTTACGAGCGGCCAAGAGTTTCGGTAGCCTTTTAAATTGCCTCATGAAAGCAAATACAACAACAACTACAACTACAACTACAACAATACCAATAACAATAATAACAACAGCAAGAGCAATAACTTGAACTTGGAACATAATAAAGTACTACGAGAAAGAAGCAGCACAAGAGCAGCAATCCCAAAATCATGTAACCGTATATTGATGACGATGTTTCTCTAATGATGCGTCTTGACTTGACAAATCGCGATCCCCGAGTGGTAGAGAGAAATGAGGTCGAATGGATGAACAATTAGTTGTGAATGCCTTAAAGCTATCTCTCCATTTTTGATGAAAGCAATCCATAGGAAAATCGTGGTTTGGTTTTTATGAGAGCTAAAGTAAGGGTCAAGCAATGCGAAAATGTAAATTTCAATAGCTTGGCACATTTATAGTTACAATAACAATTTTAAATGTGATTTAAAAGAAATTTATCTATCTTAATGGATATTTGGCAATCAAATGTGGGAAAATACCAGAGCGCAAGACAATACGGGCTTACGTTTTCCAAATTGTATGAAACGGTGACAGGTATTCGACGAGAGAAAAACTATCTGCGTATCATCCGTCTATACTGTGTATACCATTAACTGAGAGATATGCTAAGGCAAAGAATGTCGATAACAATTACCATCGATAAATAGACGGATGTACGCTACTGTACTCTACAAAATTATTAAATCCATTTCCAATATGTTCAGGGTCTTTAAATAATATGAAAGTCTTTTAATTATGCTACAAATGAAAGTTGCTACTCATTGATAAATCAACTGAGTTAACAAAGATGTGTGTACTCGACAAAAAGTATAAAGCATTTATAATTAATTTTTATTCAACTTCCATCTAGAGCTTGCCAAAAATCATATTATACTACAATCGCACCCTAATAATCAAGACGTAGCAAATTTAAAAAGCTTAACTACATATAGATTTTGTAAAAGTATAGCAGAATTGATTGCCCGGATACGCTGTATGGGCCGTGGGTGGAGGAGTAGGTTGCGGGGCGTAACATAAATAAAAGTCTATTTAAGCGTATCGCTGTTGAAATTGTGTCATGAACTCCGGAAAAGAAGACGCGACAACACAACATCTTATGCTTTTACATATGTATGCACAATCATTCACACACACGCATACACACACATAACAAAGAAAGTGAGTCGGTTCGTCGGTTCGTCGTTCGTTCGGTCGGTCGGTTGTTTCGTTGCTGGGTCGCTGAGTCAAAGGAGCGTGTCGTATCTACAATCAGTTTCAGTCTCCCAAGCGCTGGCATATAAAATTGTTTTGAGCAAAAATTACAAATTCCACAACTAACGTGACACACAGCAACCAAACCACTCCCCCCCCCCTACACATCCCCCTCTCTTGCTATCCAGGACGAGCATCCTCTTTTCTTGGCTGGTCCAGTGGCATTTATCGAAATACAAAATACCGCTCCTGCACTGTCCTTATATAGAGCCCGACCTCCGTACTCTTTTCGGTCTGTTGTCCAGTCCCGCTTACCAAAATGTATACAAAATACCGCTTCTGTCCACGTTGGCCATCTTCATGGTATATCCGAACCCCTCCCCTCACGCCACACCGCCCACTCCGCACTCTTTGTGCTGTGTCGTGGGCGTGACCACAAATGTTTTGAGCCACTCAAATGCAGCTCAGAGGCAAGTGGCTCGCCATGGTGTGTGTGTGTGTGTGTGCGTGTGTGCGTGTGTGCGTGTGTGTGTGTGTGATTACGTAGCACATGGCCAGCGGCTGGCACAACAACAATGCACGAAATTTAATGCCAACAGCAAAAATAATGAAAGTATTTGCTTTGCTACGCACAAAAATATGTCAAAGTAAATTTCACTTTATTTTTTTTTTTCTTGCTGGTATCCTTTCACTGTGTGTGTGTGTGAGTGTGCGTGGCTGTGTGTGTGTGTGTGCAAAAGCGCGTTGGCACGTAGCACATCCTTATAAGCCCTCCAGCTAACAGTTGGAAACTGTGTACCTAACCAAATAAAATGCGCTTTAAACTCTTGAGTTAAACAGACACAAGCTCAGCTGCATCCGAAGCACACATTGCATTTGTTATATTAATATTTATTGAGTTAATGCTCTCTAATTGCTTTTGTTTGCATCTGAGCTGAACGGTTCATGATTTTGTTTATTATGCTAAGTTTCTAATTTATTTACATGCAGATTGGTTATGCAATGCTCTAGCTTTTACTTGCGGTTGGGTTGTTCAAGCGGACTTTGCGAAATATCTTCATTTTACCCACAATTTGTACAAAAATTGTGTGTCACATTAATCTTTTTATTAATATTATAAAATGCTATAGACTTTTGGGTTAATTTATTTTAGTTCTTTAGTACCTTGACTAATTGATAACTAGACACTAAAGTTGACATGAATATTATTTGTTTTATTTCAAACCAGCTTTAAACCGAACCGATTTGAACCCAAAATTGCACTCTATATTCGCCCTAAATCAATCGGGATGGCTTGGGTAAAAAATAACTGAACTCTTATCTATAATATGGTTCGATAAAACATTAATATTTTTAATTTTTCAACTATTCCAAATTATTTAAAAACACATAAAAATATAATATATTGAATAGTTCTATTAAACAAATATAAAGAAAATAGAGCGAACCAAGACCCGAAGATAGGGCCCTCACAAAAAAAGTATTGCGAAAATCTGCTTAGCACTGAAGAATAGAAGAATTAAATAGAATATTCTTCTGAATCAAGAGATCCATAAGACGGCAAATAAAACTCGGTTTGCAGGTGCTCGATTCCATTTGCATGTACAATTGCGTGTGAGTTTCAAGTGAAAACTTATTTGATAGCTTATCAAAAGGCTCTCTAAGCCATGTCTAGCACATTTGAATTGTCAAAAAAAAGACATATCACAAATTGAGCCCATGTCAAGCAAAAGCAGCAGCCCAATGAAAACTTGAGGATTATGATATAGCACGATTATTGCTTACGAGTATTTCGAAATCTGTTCGTCTCTTTCTGTGTGTTTATTTTTATTTTTTGCCACCCCACCTTGTGGTGGGCCGATGGGTAAACAAGCGAATCCATCAATCAAGCACACGAAAGCGCACACAAAAGTGACCAGCGATGGGTTGGGTATGAGTTTAGGTCTGACGTGAGTGTAAACTGTACTCTGAAACTGAAACTGAAAACAAACACCGAAAGCCCAAAATCAATATTCACGTCTCAAACTCAGGAGAAATGTACACGAATTTTGTCGTATGTTTTTGTGCCCAGCCAGTCAAATAAGCAAAATACGAAGGAATTATCTTGAAAAATACATTTCCGCTTTACGTGCTGAACAGAAATAGATGAGTTAAGAATTTTTAATATAATATTTACGCTTTATATGGTATTTTATTGTTTCTAATCTGTGAACAATGTTCATTTTCTATCTAATTGCAGTGAAACGAAATTTTCGAAACGGAAGCAAAGTTGAAATCGTTTAATCCATATTCGAAGGTCGAGATCGGCCGACAAACTGAACGCGTTGCAAGTGCATATTTTTTGTTTTTTGTTTGGTTTCGGTTTCTGGAGCACGCACAGAACTGCAGGCAGTTACACACAAACACACACGCGCGCCGTGTGTAGGTGTGCGTGTGCGTGAGTAAGCTGGACGCAGCACTGGTAAACATGGATTGGACTCGGTGGCAAGACGCTAAAGCCAGAGACAGAGCTGGCAGCAGCAGCATCTGCAGCATCTGCAGCAGCCTTTGCGATTGCGAGCATCAGCGCAGCCAGTGGCTACCCATTTGATTCGTCCAGTCTCATAGTAGGTTCAATCAGTCATTCAACTAGTCAACCTGTCAATCTGCCAACCAGTCAGTCAGTCAGTCAGTAAGTCAGTCAGTCAGTCAGCCAGTCAGTAAATCAATATCAGTATCAATCAGTGCACACGTCACCCACTCAATCAGTTAGTCAGTCAATTGATCGATTCTCTGGTCAGTCGCGAGTTTGTACGATCGGTTGTCTCTGTTACATTGCAAGCAACGTATCGACCGATTTGGCATTCATAAAAAACTGTAAATATCAACTTATAGATATATATACATTATTCATATATATACATACATATATATGAAGTGCAGTGCTAATTGAATTTATCTGAGTGTCGTGCAAAACAACAAAACAATATTGGATTGGATTGAGAAGTCCGGCGCGGAGAGAGCGGCGCACGCTGCGGTTCAGTTGGCCCAGTGGAAGAGCCAATTATTTCATCAACAGCAGCAACTACAGAGGCAGCAGCAGCATCAGCAGCAGCAACAATAATTCTATAACAAGAGCCGCCTCAACCCTGCCAATGCCCTCATTGCCATCATAGTTAATCAACAACGTCATCATCGTTTGTTTAGATTTGGCACAAGTGAGTTCAGAACAATCGAAATTGCATGCTCATACAATATGCCAATAACATAGGTATCAATATACTTACATATATATATAATATAAATTTACATATATATTTACATAAATATACATAACTATATGCACATTTATCTGTCCTCTAATATACATAATTATGCGTGTATCTTCAAGATACAATTCTTGTATAATATACACACACACACACACACACACACACACTTGATTTACATATTATGCTAGTGAATACACTTGACTTCAACTATCGATAATTACATCAATCGATTACATGGGTTTCTAGAAATCTATTTTTATTTCATTTTCTGCACATTAAACTCAACTGAAAGTCTGGTCATATTCTAAAACCATAAAATTAAAGTCAAATCAGAATCTATATAAAATCGAAGTTCCCTTGTATAGTCGATTTATTTGTACTTAAACACACGCTGCTCGCGCGAAAATATACGCGAGTATTCCAAATTCCTGTAGGGCCTATTATATACACACATTCCAGTGGGTATTACGCGGCTAAGTTCGGCCTTATTTTATTTCATCAAATTGTAGTCATCAATTTTCGTCCTATTTCTAGACAGTGGGTAAAACATTTAACGCACATTTTTACTTTACCCAGCATTTTCTGCAAGCAGGGAGTCACACTTAAAATACTTCTCAATATATGTTCATAACTGAGCTTAAAGTCGAATAATATTAGGAATACTCGATCGATTTTAAGGTTTGGGCTTGGGTTAAAAACAGAATTTTTTATATAATAATTAACAAATGAAAAATAACAGAGTAATTAAATACATTTCCACGCAATTTCCGATCTTTTAAGGTGGATTTTTCAAAATTTATGCAGCAAGCTTAAAACAAATCGCCAAAAATTTGTCGATATCTCGATATCATCGATCTATTCTCAGCTCTATTTTAGATCCTGTAGACAATATTCTATATATTATGTGGGCAAAATATCTAAACTGATGAACATATCTATTTCTGTCTCGGATTTCCTCCCATGTGCCTTTCTCTCTCTCTCTCTCTCGTAACTCTTTTGCGCTCTCCTTTACTTCAAAAAATATATTCATACTTAGTGGTCTTCAAATGTTTTATAAGGTTGTTCATAAACGCGAGTTCGTTTAGTATGTGTATGTACTAGTATGTACATATATACATACACACACACATACGCATAAGCACACAGAGTTTGACAGTAGTTTTTATGTATGTAATCGCTTAGATTTACGAGCAGTACTCAATTGAGAGTTGGGTAGGGGTTCGCCCGATGGGAGCGTCTGGGCCATTCACAACGCACTCGAAACACTCATAGTGCAACATTCATTGCAGTGTATTGATTGCAGGTCGCCAGCAGTCACTCGCAGCACTCTATCCCGCCCCCACGACACCCATTTAGACTGCATTTTGTACACTTCTAACTAGCGTAGCTCCGCCTAGCTGCCTAGCTACCCTCCACTCTGTCCAGTTGCTCAGTCGCAATCTGACAAAGTAAATCTCATGCAAATCATATGCAAAACAGGACGACAACGGTGCACGAGACGCCGCGGCGGGGTCGCCGAGGACGTTTGTCAGGCGACAAGCAATTTGTACAAACATTTGCGCAAACAAAACGCAGGCGGTCACGAGTCATCAGCCACGAATAACTAACTGGTGGATGGTGGAGCTGCAGGTGAAGGAAGGGAGGGCTGGTCGGTTTGTCTGTCAGTCGGTCTGGCGGTCTGCCGGTCTGACGCTCGCGTGACCGGCAAGTTTTACACACTTGGCACACGTAATTGCTTATAAAACGACGCCGTGCCGCCAAAGACTGCCGATAACAAACCAAAAGCGTTTATAACAATTATACGAGCCAAGCAGCCATTTGGGACCAGACGACAGGGAGCTGGGGATCAAGCCGGGCTGGGTTAACTGCGTGTGTATTTGCGAGGCACTTGACCAATTAAGCGACAGGCGTGAGTGTGAAAAAGGCTGTCGAGCTGGTGGGCACTCGATTTAGCACCCACACCCAGCTCCCACACCCCATGGTGGGAGTGGAGCAGACTGGCTAAATGTATAAGCCCGATACACTAACACGGCGCGGCAGTCTGAGATCCCTGCGCAGCGCACCGCTGCTCAGTACGGTGCTGGAGAGCACGCTCTCGCTGACCCGCATCCATCCAATAGCTTCGCTGGAGCTACCCGGCCTCGATTATGCAGTGCAATCGCAGTCAGCCATTGGCGGCTTCCATCATCGTGAATTAGGCACCTCTCTACGCAGCGGCATCGCAGCGATCACCGCGGCCAGCGGCAGTGGCTTCTCTCAATCCCAGAGCGCGCTGCTCGGACGTTACGGTCCAAACGCCTCAATACGCAACAGCGAAAGAAAGATTGTCCAGCCGAAACGGTATGTCAATAATATATATACCCCCGCAAGCCCACCCAAAGATCTATCCATCATTGCATTTGCTTCAGTCTTCATCTATGTTGCTCTGCATCATTGGACATCCACATCATAGAACTCTTTCAACGGACGATGTTGGATAAGAATCTAACAAAATTACTTTATCTTCACAAATTGAAGATCTTATATATACATACGATGATATCATTGAGAATCTCTACATAATCTGTCACCGATAAGATTTCACATTAAACTTATTCATTAATCAATTCTTATCTCGAATGCAGTGTTGATTAAGGCCATAGTTGCCAGTGCCATTTAACAATAGCTGATAGTTTACAGCCTTATACAATACTGAGGATTAAAACGATCCTTGCTTACGTTTCGCAGTCTTATTTTCCTGGAACTTGGAAGCAGTCTCGTCTGCCGTTTTATTATATTGATTGCTAACTACTTAAAGACAATTTCCAACGCTTTTTACTGCCAATCACGCACGGGATTCCAACGCTTGAGATTTCCATCCCAGGGCAGATCCTCGAGGCCAGCCTGTGCTGCAATCGCTGCCTTGACACGATTCGAGAATTCAATGGCCGTCTCGGTGGATCGTCGCTTCAGTGCCGGCATATACCATACATCACAGATGATGGACCAGGAGGAGATCACCATTAGGATGTAGCGCAGCATCGAGCACCGAGTGCTATCCCAGAAGGCGTCGCCATAGCGTCGATCATAGCGAACTGCCACGGGATAGACGACATTGCAGATGGCAAAGCTGCCCTTTTTGAACTGCATCACGGCCGTGTTATTGATGCAGGTGCCTTCCGGGAAGAGCAGTATGGGCGGCTTGCCACGCCCAGCTGCATGCAGGCGCAACACCAAGCCCAGAGCCTCGCGCTCCCCGTGCGCCTGACGCTCGAACCACAAATGCGGCGATGCCCTCTGCAGGGCGCGCTGTATCACGCCCAGAATGCCATCATGCCGCTGCCCAGTGAGGGAATAGTGCACGTCGCACATGAGCAACAGCACGTCAAGGGGGCTGGTGTGGTTGCACACACAGATGCCCATGCGGGGCCGATGCTCTAGGTTGTGTATGCGTCGCACCACCGGAATGAAACAGGTGGCAAGGCGGAAGCACGACCGCAGCACTATCTGCACCAGACGCCGTTTAAATCTCCAATCGGGCAGCTGGCCCAGCACACCCGTTACCAGCGTCACCAGCAGCAGGCAGCCGGAGCAGCCCACAGTGCGCAACGGCACCAGCAGACTGTAGCGCAGCAGCAGCGCCAGCAGCCAGATAAGGAACAGACGCCAGTTGAGGTGCCGCTTTTGGTGGCGCAGATTGCGCGTCAGCAGATTCCATTCACCGGCCGGCGGCGCAGCGGCCGCAAATCGTGGCGTCACATCGTCCTCGAGCACCAGACGCAGCCCCTCGGCGATCAGGTTGCAGCACTGCTCCATGCGTGCGTTTAGCGCATCCTTGGCAACCACCTCTGTCTGACCCGCTGACAGCTTCTGTAGCTGCTGCTGCTGCTGGTGCTGCTGCTGCTGCCGCTCCTGCTGACGCTGCTGCTGCTTCTTGCTCAGCAGCTGGCGCAGTCGGCGATGGCGTTGTCTTAGCTGCTCGTCGCAGGGCTTTAGGCGGCGCTCCTTCTGCAATTGGCTCGAGCTGTACGCAAAGAGACGTTCCAGTAGGCTCAGGTAGCGATTGTTCATGCATCCTACGGAGCCGCAGCACAAGGCTACGCCCAATAGGAATAGCAAAACCAGTTGAAGCCACATTCAGGGAACCGCTGCGCAGAAAAGTAGGCAATAAAAAATGTGTTAAATATATATCGATATATTTTAAATTGAAATACATGGATGACAGCAGTGTTGGAAAACGAAAAGACTGTATTGCAAAATAATAACATTTAATTATTATTATTTAAATAGCAAAATCAATTCAACATACTTTAAAAGACCCTTTAAGGCATTTCTTAATGGATCGAATACATTTATACGGCCAGTGTTGCACAACAATATTTTTAAAAGTCGTTAATATTAATGGGCACTCCTCAGAAATGCAAAGTGAGTGCCGGCGCAAACAAATTCTCAATTAAATTTCTAATTCAATTTATTGCCGCCTTTTCGGCTTTTTTGCCTTTGTCTTTGCCTTTTTCTTGGATTTAGTTTTCTTATTTTTTTTTTCTACTTCATTCTTTTGTTTTTTTTTTGTATTTAAGCTTTGCCGACTTTGATTTATTTAACAAGCAAAAGGCGCCAAAATATAAAAAGCCACAACTTTGTCGACGTCGTCGTCTGTCCGCAGTCGGTTTGTGTTGAGTTTTGGGGCTGTTCTGGGTTCTGTTGGGTCTGTATTGTATACTGTTTTGGTTTGCCCTTATCCTTTATTTTTGGCTTTGCATATGGCAATAATTCAATTATGCACAAGGCCGCAAAATAATTGGGCGCCGTCTGTCGCCGCAGTCCCGACGGCCCAAAAGCCCGGCAGCCCGGCGGGCCAACAGCCCAACAGCCCAACAGATTCTGATCCTGATGCTGCCGAAACCGAAATCACTTAAAAAACCGCAAAAACTTCTGGCTTTGTTAATTCGTTAATTAAATTGGCC